TTTTTTTTTTTTAACTGATGACTTATCTATTGGTGGCAAACCAAGTTTTTGTTTGTCTGAATTATCTTTGTTTGAACTTCATTCTTCAAAATTTTTGCTGTGCTTGCAGTTAGCTCTGTACCGGTATTCTTTTCCCTCAGTGTGATTGTTACAAAGCTAATGATGGGAGAATTCAGCTGTCAGTTCCTTTGAAAATAGCCCCTTTTTTATTGTGGCTACTTTGAAGGTCTCCTTTTGTCTTTGGCACTCTGCACCTCACTCAGATGTGTAGCTTACATGCATATGTTTTTTGTCATTATTTGAACAGGCCCCTTTAAGACACTGGACACCATTAACCTCTTTTCTCTTGGGGCTTTCCTGGTGGTCCTCTTCCACTTCTCAGGACACTTTGGGGATCCTTTTTCTTCTGTACAGTTTTATGTAACTAATTTCTGTCTTAAATCCTTGCACCACCCCACAAGTTTATGTGGAAATGTGATTATTTTCTTGGCTCTAATTAGATGCATATAACTATTAAATATTTAGCCCAAATTGGACTCTCTGGACTCCAGATCTATATATTCCCACTTAGCTCTCTCAGTAGTGCCTTGAAGGCACACGGCCTAACCACAACCCATTTCACTCCCCACACCTGCTCCCTGAGCCCGTCCATTACTTCCATTAATGGCATCGCCATCCATTAATGACCTGTGTCACTTCAGATGCATGTTTCCCCTAACCATTCTGTTTCCATCTATTGGTCTGCAAGAATCATTCTTCAGTATCTTCTGCATCATCCGTCTTTTTATTGCTACAAACACTGTAGTCACTCTCTCCTTGTTTTTTCTTTCTTCTTTTTCTGATCTATTTTCCTATTGTGAGAATGATTTAAAATCAGATTAATCAAAACTGTTTTGCTGACTTTTGTATGTTCTGTCACCTTTCTGATACAGTCTAGTCCCCTGACATGAAAGTTCAGTCCTGGGTTACGGTTGTGCCTCATTGGTCCATTGCCTCAGATGTTCTGCCTTATGGAACTATTTCTCTTCTTGGAGCTAATTGCGTACCATAACTGCTTCTGCCAGAGCCCCTCTGAACCTTCCTCTCCCCCTTTTCCTACGACAAGAAAAACTATTCTACCATTATTGCCTCCCTTTTGATCAGCTTCTGCCACCCTTGTCCTCTACATGCTGTAGGTTGGATATTCTCACGTCATGCTCCATCCATAAGATTATATTATCTGCTAAATGGTAAGCCTTGTGAGAACAGGAGCAACTCCTACCACCATTTGTGTTCTTTTTTATTTTAAAAGACTTTATTTTTTTAAATATTTATTTATTATATGTACAGTGTTCTGCCTGTATGTCTGCTTATAGGCCATAAGAGAGCACCAGATCTCATTGTAGGTGATTGTGAGCCACCATATGGTTGCTGGGAATTGAACACAGGACCGCTGGAAGAACAACCAGTGCTCTTAACCTCTGAGCCATCTCTCCAGCCCCCAAAAGTTTATTTTAATTTTAATTATGTATAGGTTTGTGCACATGAGTACAGGTGCCTGAAGAGGCCATCAGATCTCCCTGGAGTTCCTTGTAGTGATGAGCTGCCTGATAGGGCGCTGGGAGCAGTATGTGTTGCTAACCACTGAGCCATCTCTTTATGTCCTCCCCCGCTTTGTGTTCTTATCAATAGCAGAATACTCAGTTGTGGGATTTGTGCTCATTTATTATGAAATTGCTAATATTTATATATACAAATTACAGTTATAATACTGTTACATTGCACAGGAAGCTTCCAAAATTTATCTTGACCCAGATAAACCTTTTATTGGTGATGATTACGATGACGAAACTGAGAGTAAGGAGTCTGAAACTCAAGTACAGGAAGAAGTAGTAGAAGTAAAACAACAGGTAAGATTATTTGCTGGACAGAGTGACGGCTCCCTATAATCCCAGCTACCTGGAAGGCTGACACAGGAGATCACTTAAGCTTAGGAGTTCAAGACCTGGCAACACAGCAAGACTCTGTCTCAAAACAAAGTAAAGCAAACCAAAACCTGAGAAGATAAGCAAAAATGATGTGTGATTAGCATTAGTTTCTCCTTTCCCTTTGTCTTTTCGAAGACCACTTGCTAACAGATGTAGAAGGGGGAAGTAGCTTTCATGGAGTGACTGCTTCCACCTCCCCTTTCTCCATCCAGATGTTGCCACACATTCAGGTATACTGATTCTTTTTTCCTAAATCCAGATGTTCCCATAGCTTCATTCGCCTCTCACCGACATCAGCACAGTCCACTCCACTCCCCGCTGCTGCTTTGTTTTCTCTTTACCACAAGATTTCACAAAAACAAGTTTAACCTTCCCTGTGCCTCTGCTTCAGCTTCCCTGCTGCCTCCTTGTCTCTAACTCTTCTCATTACTCCAACTCTCTCTACTCCTGCTGAAAAATCTGCAGCAGTCAAAACCCACCTGAACATTTAAGTAGTGATAATACAATGACAGCTACCAGTAATGAGTGTAGATTATGGGATCTATGCTGTGCATGTTGCCCAGGATAACAACTTAGGGTTTACATTGCTTTGTTTTATAGACAAGAAAATGATGCTTTGAAGGGTTGACATTTTACCTAAAACCATATAGTTTCAAATGGCTGAACCAGCACTCAAACCCAGGCGATTATGGAAGAAGAGTCCTTACCAATTCCTAGACTGACTGCTGCTGTCTCTGGCTTAGAGCCCATGCTTGCCCGATGATCTCCACACATCTTGACTGATGTCTCTGCACATGGTTTAAGTGTTGCCATAGGGGCTTGCAGCAAGATGGCTGACAACCCGAGTTCGATCCCCAGAATCCACATACAGGTGGAAGGAAAGAACTGACTCCATGAAGAAGTTGTCCTTCCTTCATGCATGCCTGCCCCTCCCTACACAATAATAATAATAAGCAAAGTTTTTTAAAAAAAATGTTGCTTTGACCCTGAACTCTATTCTAGGTCTTCTAGTCAAAATAGCAGAAGTACAGAACAAAATTATGTAACACCCAGCCCTCTCTTTTCAAGCATTTTCTGTTTTGTTTTTGGTAAAGTGCTTGGTGTATGGAGAACCGAATGCTTTTTCATTTATTTACAGACAGCATTAAAGCTATCACCATCTGTGAACTTACTTCAGGCCCTTTCCTCTCTATTTCACAAGTACCTGCTCAATCTTCAAATACAGTTTCTATTTTTCTGTGAGCAGACTCCCCTTGTGTGTGCACACAGCCTTTAGACTACACCTTTATGCTAACAGCCATTGTATGCCATGACTGTTCATCTTATTACCTGCATTGCCTGCTGTGCTGAGTTTCTGTATTAGTCAGGGGTTTCTAGAGGAACAGGACCTATAAAATAAAATAAAAAAATCATTCTTTCTATATATAGCTGGAGGTTAGGATTAGGACTCCTGTTTTCCCATCTTGACTTTATAAAAAAGCCTTCTCATTCTTTTTTCTATGTCTCTATAGAAAGTTTATTCTGGGACCACCTTAGACTTAAGTCAGCTCTGTCTCTCTGCAGAACACCATTACTTTAGGAGTCTATGGTGGGCTTCATTCCATTAATCTCCTGGAATTTGCTGCAAATTCCTGGTGAAGGAGTGGACTTGCCAGGAAGAGTAAGAGCAAGCAGTCAAAGAGATAAGCTCCCTCATTCCATGTCCTTTATATAGGCTGCCAGCAGAAGGTGTGGCCTAGATTAGAGCTGTCCCGGAAGGCCTGAGGATTAAGAGAGCAGGTTGAACCCCTCTCATCTGCCATGTGGTGGCATGGGTGAGGGAAAGATGCCCTTGTCCCCTCACGCCTCATTCCCTGCAGCAGGTAGGGGACTTGATCCAACCCTTCACCAGCTGCAGCACTCAGGAGAACAGGCCCTGGGCCTCATCTGGGCAGCAAGGTACAGTTTACCCTGTAGATAGGGGTGTATCTCAATCCCAGAGGGTATGAGAGGGGCAGAGCTGGTACCTCCTCCCTCATCTGCCCTGTGGTGGTAGGAGATAGGGAAAGATGCCCTCTTCCCTCGCTCCCACCACCTCCAGCTGGTGAGGGAGCTGACCTTCCCCTTTTTAGCTGCAACATTTGGGAAAGTAGGCCTTGCACTTTGGGTAGCATAGTGGAGCTGACCCTGTTTGTAGGGGGTTTGGGGGGTGTGCAAGTGAGCTGCACATGAGCATGAGAGTTCTGGCTCGCCCCTCATCTGCCACATGTCAGCATTGGTGGGGAGAGATACCCCTCCATGCCTGAACCGACTGGGAGAGCTGCACCTGCCCCTTTCCAGCTGCAACACTCAGGAGAAGGGCCCCTGGCTCTCTCCTGACCCTGATGGTGTAGGTATGGGAGAATCAGCCTTGAGGGTATGAAAGCCGGAGAACTGACTCTGCCCATTGCTCATCACTGCAAGGGGTGAACCAGCCAGGACAATGCCAGAGAGCTCACCCTGGTGGTGAGGATAGGGTAGAGTTGGTGCACTGACCAACCCTGTAACTACCCAGGCCCAGAACTGGGGTTATAAGTTGGCTCACTCCAACATCCACCCATCCATGATCTGCAGGAGCATGTGAAGGGGCTGGTCCTGTAAGCCCAAAGCTGCAGGATCTCCACAACACAGGGCAACAACAGGATATCCAAGAGGAGGCCCAGTGAGGGCCCAGCATCGATAGTGTAGCAGAAACCAGAGGCCTTGAACCAGACCAATGACTCTTTGAATGAATACTTGCAAGTAAAAATATATGGATAAAAGGTTTACTGTGTGATTCAGTGTGTCACACTATAGCTTCCATGACGAGATATTTTTCCTTTTCTTTCATTTTATTCTATTTTGGGGGGAGGGCTGCAAAGACAGAGGGTTGGTACAAAGGGATGGGGAAGTGAATGGGATGGAGATGCATGATGTGAAAGACACACACACAAAAACAAATTAAAAAAAGTTGGGTTTTGTTTTTTTCTGAATCTTTCCACTTCAAATGATTCAATCAAGAAAAACCCATCACAGATGTACTCAGCAATTGGGGTATTAGTTGATTCCAGATGTAGTCAAGTTGACAACCAAGAATAGCTGGAATGAACCTCCTTGTTTTGGTTACTCGTCTCCCCCTGTCCCCACTCCCCCTCCCTCCTTGCCGGTGTTCAGAGCAGGTCTTCACACATTGTTTGCTGACTGGGGACAAATGGAAAGCTAAGCTGTCAGACAGGGCTCTGGGTGACTTGCTCTGCTGTGTGACACATATCAGCTGGCTAACAAGTCCTTGGTTTTCCTGTGCTCTAGGAACCTTCAACATCTGTAGAAAATGAAAAAACCATACGATACATTGGAAAAGATGAAAATATTCACTGCAAACCTCTGTTTGAAGAAAATATATTTCAATCCTGGGTATGTAACTAAAATCCAACTAGGAAATCTAAAAACTACTCCTTAACGTTCTTTGAAAACAATATGGGTCTAACTTTTAATTCCTTTTAGTGCCTTTTAGTAGCTTTTAGTTCCTCCCAGGTGACTCCTGGTTAATGTATTTTGCAGATATTTTTTTTGTCTTCTAGCACTAGCTTTCTAGACTTATTTTTCCATCTTGACTTTACAAACAAACAACAACAAAAAACCCCACAACAACTCATTATCTTCTCTATGTCTCCATAGAAAGCTCATTCTGGGTTTCTGTCTCTCTGCAAAACACCTTTACTTTAGGAGTCTATGGTGGGCTCCATGCCATCAGTCTCCAGAAATCTATTATACTCTATGTGTATGCTCATGTGTGGATTTTTCTGGGTTGGGGGAGGGGCTCAAATTGCTCAACCCCCAAAGCAGGAGACTTTCAGTTGTTAGGAGGTGTGAGTCATTAGCCTCGGTGGTTTCACATGGGACCGAGGAGCTGCGGCAGCATAGTGGAGCATGGCAACTAGAGCACGTAGGTGGAGGTCAGGCCTAGAGTAGAGGGGATTTGTAGTGAGTTTATCCAAGGGCGTTGTAGGCAATGAAACCCAGCAATGGTGGAAAAACTCAGAGAAGTCATGTAGTGTACAGCGGGGTGAAGGGAGTACATGGCGAGTTATAAGTGCATTTCCCCAAAGTGGAGTCTTGTAAGAAGTTTTTGAAATAATGCTCTGTTTCTGTCATCACCATTCTGAGGCAAATTTAAGAAGTAACAGTACAAATGGAATACAGAGGTTTAAGGAAAGCTCTTGAAAAAGAAAATACAGAACTGCCAGACCCAGGCAAAGCTGTTCTTCTTTAAACATTTCCCTGAAGTAAAAACCCTGATGTTCCATCCAGAGGAGGTGTTGGAATCCAGCTTTGTAGACAGGCAGGAAGCAGAGGGGAGCTAGAAGTCTGTAGCTTGGGAGCAAAACTGAGGACCATTGATGGTGTGGTACTCACTGCTCTGGGATGCCACCTGTGTTAGTCAGCTTTCTATCCCTGTGACCCAGTGCCTGAGAAGGCCAGATGAAGGGAAGAAAGATTTGCTTTGCTCCTGTTTCAGCCGTTGCCACTTGCCCGTGCTGCAGTGAGAGAAACAGTTTGGTGAGGAGTGTGCCGTGGAGCAGTGCCACCTTCCCTAGGGGCAGGAGACAGAAGAGAGAAAGGAAGAGGGAGAGAAGGGAGAGAGAAAAGGCGGGAGAGAGGAAAGAAAAGGAGGATGAGAGAGAAAAGAGGAAAAAAAGTGCTAAAATAAACCCTTTGGGGCATGCCACCAGTGACCCTAGCCCCTAAAATCTCCATCATGTCCTATACTGCCATTACTTTGGAACCAGGCCTTTAGCATGTGACCTTTGAGGAGGACATTTCAGACCCATTAAGCAGCACTGTCTTGCCTCTCCTCCCTGGAAAAGGTTACTCTTGCCTCCAGGGATGGCTCAATTTCATTAATTCTGAAAGCTTTTAGCATAGCAGCATTTGGGGGCCCTCACTGGGCCACAGTCATTTCAACATATCACCACAGAGCAAACAGTTCAAACTGAGACTTCAGACCAACTGGTAGAGATACGCAGTGTTTACATCCAGCAGGCTCTACCAGACAGCTACACTATGTCAGGAGATACAGAATGTTTACATTCAGCAGGTACTACCAGACAGCAGCACTGTGTCAGCTGTGTGAATAGGGCTGCCTGTAGCCCAGCTACTCTAGCCAGCAAGCAACATACTAGAAACAGGCTACATGAAGGTCATCTTAAATTCTTGGGTTCTGACTATCCATAGAGTCATAAGCACATCATGGGTTTTGCTGGATCATATGTGAATACCCTTGGGAAGGCAAACAGGAGACAGACTTGGGCTCCACAATATTTTCAACCCAAGATTAGACATTCTCCCCTCACCTGTCATTTGGGCTGAAGGACTGGTATGAATTTTCATTCCATAATACTATATATACCCCAGGAACAGATATTAAGAGCAGTGACTTGAAGGGTGGTGGAGGCAGAGGTAGCAGGTCTCTGTGAGTTCAAGGCCAGCCTGGTCTACAGAGTGAGTTCCAGGACAGCCAAGGCTATACAGAGAAACCCTGTCTCAAAAAAACAAAAATAAACAAACAAAAACTCAAACCAAACCAAAACACAGCGACTAGTTTGTTGATTTTCTAACAATGATAGGAAAGGGCCCTTAAAGTACATGGCTCCAGAAAAGTATGTCCTAGACAGACAGGGCCCAAAATCTGGCAGGGAGTTTGGTGCTGAAAACCGTATCCATAGGAGGCCTGCCTGAACCCATCCCTTTTCAGAGGCACTTCCAGACCAGAGTCGTTAGTCCAGTCCAAGGCCCCTTAGAAAAAAAAAGCTGGGAGGAGTGAGCCCAAATGCCAAAGGTAGGTCTCAGACAGAGACAGGCTTAAAGCTACAGTGCACAGGCACAGGCACAGGCAAGGAGAGTCCAAATGCACCTTTAAGAGCCGTGCCTCCAAGTTTATCTCTATTGTACACTTGGGAGGAAGAATGTAAATGCTGGAAGGAAGCCATACAAACAAACAAGGTGCACCAGGCAGTGACCTGTTTTGTTGCATCTAAATCGGGGTTCGGATCCTACCCCTGACATTTTCTTTGCCTGGCAAGATTTACACCTCTAAGCAAGAATGACATTCCCTACAGAATATAAAAATCTTACAAGATTTTGCAATGTTTTGTGTAAAGTGAAATTTTCAGCAGTGAATTTTAGTAACTAACTGAATTATTTTTTCTTTGATTCGTTAGAAAAACATATTTACCCTTCTTTTTTATTTTTATTTTTGTGTTTACCCTTCTTTTAAAGCATTTCCACATTTCCTTCTGTTACTGTTTCTCCTACCCTTTTGTTTTTTTTAACACTTCCGTCTTTCATATCTACATGTAGCATGAATAATTTGGAATCTGTTGTGCTATTTGGCCACAGGCACTATCTATGGCCTTTTTTGATGTTAGGCTTGTGAGTCATCATGTACCAGATAAATATGAGCGATAGAAAAGAATATTCTAGACAATTCCTGAAACTGGACTACTAACTGTTGGGACTCTCAGTTCAGTCACCTCACATGTCTTCTTTGTCAGAGAGAACCAACAAGCAAAGGCATTATGGACCAAAAGTATATTGAAATAATGGCTGTAATTGAACATATGCAGGATAAGCTTAAGTGAGTATGAGACACCATGATGGTAAGAAGATAAAGACGATGGGCCCGAAGCATGGCTGAGCAATGCACGCTTCCTGGCTTACCTTTGTCCTGCTGGGTTTGGTCTCACTAGTGGGATGAACAACTGAAAATCTTTGGCCAGAGGCACTGAGCTACTGTGCTGTGATGAGAAAGTCCCTCCATAACACTCAGTGGAGGTGGGAACTGCTGTGGGCATTTGCAAGTGTTCCTTTGTCAGTGAAGGGGCGAGGAGCAATCCCAGTCAGTGGGATTTTGGAAGATGACTTAAGGGAAAGAATGGAACTGGGAGAAAGTATTGTGTGTGCTTGAGAAAGAAAGTTTCACAACCCAGAGTTGGGAGGATAACACAGTTAAGATGCCTGATGAGTTTGAGAAGACTCTGTCATCCATACATAGCATATACCTTACATTTAATGCTTTATTACATTTTTTTACTTTGTGTGCATGTATATGTGTGTGCATGGGTATGTGTGTGTGTGTGTGTGTGTGTGTGTGTGTGTGTGTGTGTAGTGTCTGTGTTGCACGTGGAGGTCAAAGGACAGCTTCCAGAAATCTATTCTTTCCTTTTTTTCATACGGGCTCAGGGGATTGAACTCAGGTAGTTGGGCTTGGCAGCCATACTTCTACTCACTGAGCCCTCTTGCCTTAACACATACTCTCATAAATACAAAAGCATATCTAAACTAGTTTTCTTGATTGTAAATTCTGGTTTTAGAGGTGTTAGAAAAGAGGGGCCATTACTGGGTTTTGTTGAGTTCTATCAATTATGTGAAGCAAAAATGAACTACTTCTGTTGGTGGGGAATTCAAATAGACCAAAGTCAGCTCTCACTAAGAAATGAGAACCATGTTGTATTAAGTGACAGTGTAAGTTTAACTGTACATCTGGAGTAGCCCCTAGGCCCTCAATTTTCCATTCATCACTGATACCCCCGCTTCCCATGTTTGCACCCTTCAGCCAGGTCTGTCTTCTCCCATAGCAGTTTTCACGTGAGTTTCTTTATGAAGGAAGGATACATTTTCACTCCTCTCTGTTCTGTTGTGTTTCCCTGGACTTGGTCCACGTCAGAGAGATGGACGCCAGGGCCAGACGGGCAGAGCAGAATTATGACAAGGCAAATGAGAAGCTTCATCATACCCTCATAAAAAACAGAGATCTGGAGAAGGAATTAGAAGAAATGGCCAAGAAAGTCAGAAAGGAGTCACGTGTAAGAATAGAGGACCCCAAGGAGGAAGAAGAGGACGAGGACAATGAATATGAACAAAAAGAGGAGAACCAAGGAGAGGAATACAGACATTCGAAAAAATCCTCAAAGCATTCAAAGAAAGGTGAGATCACTTCTGTATTTTTATAACGAAAACGTGACTGTACCACAAATATTTTTAAAGATCATGAGTATTTTACATTTATTCATTCATTGTGGGGAAGCCCCACACACATACATGTGAGTACACCCCACCTGTGTGCATGTGCATACCACATACACACAAAATAATAAAGTTTAAAATGTAAGTGGAGAGTGACAGAGGATGACACCTGAGATCAGCCTCTGGCCTCCATACTTGCACGGGTGACTGCTCCCCCATTCATGTACTACATAAATGCATACACCACACAAAGAAGTAGCAATAGAATTTCATAAATATATTTATGGGAAAAACAAATGTAAAATTTGATAGTATACATAGCCATTCCTTTAAAGCTTGCAACTACTTCTATCTACCTCGTAGTGTGTACCTGTATCCCAGAGGCTAGAACATTGCTTTGATCTCATGAATTTGACCCCAGTCTGGGCAAAAGCAAAACACCATCTTAAAAACAAATAACTATGGCTGGCAGGATGGCTCAGTGTCTAAAAATACTCAGGCACAAGACTGATGGCCCAGTTTCAGTCCCTAGAACTTGTGTTAAGGTAGAGAGAGAGGATAGACTCTACTAGAAACACTGTCTTCTCACATTAGACTATAGCAATACAACCCCGATGTGTGCTTGCATGCCCATGAGCACACGCAAACACATGCAATGCAGCATGCAAACCAAGGTTACTAAATGTAAGGCAGAGATGACACCCAGCCTCATCCTCAGCTGAATCCTTCAGACAGCCTCTGTCACCTTCCCTTCACATTGGGTTACTTTTCAATGCTCCTGCTAGGGAGAGCAGGCTTGATGACCAGAGGTTCCCGTCCCCACCCCAGGGATGCATCTCATGCAGGGCATGTGTTCAGGAGGCAGAGAGAAAGGGCAGGAGACAGAAGAGAAATGCAGGAATGAACAAATGAGGATGCTGAAGACTCGCTCTGTTCGAATGTTCTCTTTTTTGTTACTTGCCTACACAATCCTTTATCCCAAGACCTAGAATCAAATAATTAACTGGCCACATGTAAATGTTGGGAAACATTCTGAATCTCAATAACCAATTTTGGGTCATTAGTTGGACTTACTCAGGCCAAATGGAATTTAAAAACAGTTTTTTAAATTAAAAGCCTTTAGTACACATAAGACACCAGTCACTAACCATATTCTAATTGTTTTTGTCTTTTTAGAAGCACAGTCCAAAGATGAATCTAAGTCTGGATCCCGGACTAAGTCTAAGTCCAAATCCAAATAGCTTCTTTTGAGACTGGTTCACAGTGGCTGTGCCTCTGAACATGCATAGTTATTGCTGAGCTGTGGAGTTGGCAATACAGCTCACATGGATGGACTCCCTTAGCAACAGCCGTTAGAAAAGCCACACTGTCCAAGCCAAGAATGTTTTCCTTTAGAAGCATGGCAGAGGCCACAGGGAGTCAGTACATGAGTTTACCTGCCAGATTAAAAACAGTTTGTGCAAAGGTATGCTGGCCTCTTCAGTTGATTTCCCGAGAGTTCTGTCAAAAGTGTTCATTTCCATGAAGAAAAAAGTGCTGTAGACTCAGCTCAGGTGGGAAGGAAATAGGAAGGTTCATGTTTTGACTCAGCAGATTGGATCCTGCTCGTTTGCTTAGATTTCAGCCACAGATTTGAGTTTCCTGATTTGAGGCACCCTTGTGATCTCTCTGATCTTGATAACCCTTTAGCTAGCTAGGGGGTGGGATGCTGTTAATCTCATCTCTCAGAAAATGGGACTGAGCCCCAGAGTGGTTATCAATCTTCCTGATTCCATAGATCCCCCTGGTGTGAGAGCCTCACCTGGCTAGATTTGTCTAGACTATCTGCCCAGCCATGGCTTCCTTGGCTTCCTTAGTACAGCTCTGTGTTCCTGAAGACTCACCAGAATCTGTTTTTTTCTTTCTTTGGCAACCTCATTCATCTGCACTTTTCATGTCCCAAGTCTGTACGGACACAGAAGATGGTCTGTCCTGTAAAAGTAAGCTGTAAATGACAAATGGATATTGTGGCTGTCACTCTGAAGGGTGCCCTTCTACACTGCTTCTGGCCCTTTGGGGTATGCATATCTTTCTGGCTCAGTCATTGTTGGGAAGATTGCTGCAGTTGTTTTAGTCCATATGACTGCTGTTCCTTTGGCTTTCTCTCCTAGATATTTAGACCTTTGTCTGACCATGCATCCTCAGAAACCCATGGACTCCAGAGTCTCCAGCCTTAGATAGACCTACCCCTGGTCACCAGCAGAGTATGAGGGATGGGTTCAACATTGCTTAGGAGTTACCTGTGCCCACTGGACAGGGTCAATTACACTTTGTTCTTGTATAGGAAAGAAAACATGAAATTCATCAGACAGTTGGGTGTGCTCATAGTCCAACTGATGGCCAAAGCCAAAGCTTTTACTTGTAGCTTCCAACTTCTAGGCCACAGCCCTGCTTTCCTTCTACCAAAAGACATCCCTTGATGACACTGGCAAATCTGGGGGCTTTTTAGTTTTGCATGGTTATAGAATTATTTCTATTAATTTTCTACTTCATAGGAATGAATGGCATTCTCATACAAATTAGTAGCTCCTATCTGTGAAGCTTAGAATGTGTCAAATCATATCAACTCCATCAGGTAGAAGGTACTGTTTCTAAGTGCTATGTCTTCTGCTGCCTTGATTACCATGGAATGTTTTGTATCCAGAATTTAATTGGTTGGTTGCAAGCCACAGAAACTTAATTTTGCAGGATAATTTATTGGAAGGATTTGGGGAAGCTCAGGTAATTGAAATCTTTAAAAACTAGAATGATACTAGTGACCACAAGCATCTTTGGAAGATATCTGGTATAATAATTGCTTTACACTCCAGATTACTATGAAACAAATTCCAATCATTTCTTCCATCTTTGTCTTATTCAGCCAATGGCTCAGGTTCCCAAGAGAGAAAAAGTCTATCTCATAGTCAGAGACCACACCATAGATATATCAAGGATGCTATTCCAGTTTCCTTTCTGTTGTGATAAAACACTGACCAAAAGGGTAGGGGTGTGATGGAGTAGTGCGTATTTCAGCTTTCACTCCCATTTCAGAGTTCATCATTGAGGGAACTTAGGGCAGGGAGCCAAGCAAGAACTTGAAGCAGAAACCATGGAGGAATGCTGCTTGCTGGCTCGCTCATTGGCTTATGGTAGGTAACTTTCTTATATGGTCAAAGGCCACCTGCCCAGGGCATGGTGCTGTCCATAGTAGTCTGGACAATGGAGTCAATCCCCCATAGACATATGCACAGGCCATTTGCCCTGAGCAATCTCATAGTTCAGATTAATTTCTTGGGTAACTCTAGGATTTGTAAAGTTTGACAGCTAAAGTTAACAGGACAGATGTTTTATGGGAAGTTTTACAGTCTTTCAGACCTTGCTATACTTTCTTGGGTCTCTCAATCAATGTATCGAGAGGAACTCTTTGCTGTCCATCCCTGGCACCAGGCTGTTGAGGTCACTCGTGTTATGTCAACAGTCAGATGGGCAGACACATCTCTAGTAGTGAAGAAACAGATTGGCTGTCTTGCGGCTGTGACAGATAATTGAGAAAATGAATTAGCAGGAAGAAAGGGTTTTTGGCTCATGGTTTCAGGCCAGGGCTGGCAGGTCTGTTTGGGCTTTTAGTGAAGCAAAGAATCACAGCGGTGGGAGCATGTGATACAAACTATTCCCATCAAGGTGAATAGGTAGCTGGAAGTAACCAGAAGGGGCCAGGGACAAAAATATACCCTTCAAAAGCAGGGCTTCTTCTATCCACTTCCTCCAGCGAGGCCTACCCTTCTTAAGTCACCACATCCCAGCGGAAATGCAAGTTGCTTCTTATTGCCTGTCACAGAAGTCAATGCAGAAACAAGATTTGAGCTGAAAAGTGTACTTTATTCAGAGAGCAAGCAACCTGAGATGGCAGCAGATTAAGATCTCAGACCCATCTTCAATCTGATCTCTAACAGATCTAGGGAGAAGTGGAGATGGTGGGGGTGGAGGACAGAGACAGTCAGCTAATCATGCTAGACTCAGTCTTGCCCCTCTCAACAGAAGGTCAGTGACTTTTTTGAGAGTCGTGATGGATGTCTGTGCTTCTCTGGCTATCATTCCTTGTATTTTCCCCTCAATCTGTAGATGTTTGGATTCACACACTTCTTGAAACTCTAGGTTAAGTTAATTTCTGTTGCCATCAGCAGTGTTCTCTAGCAGCACCGGGGCTGTGGAGGGTGGTTAACTTGGAACAAACCATTAGCAGTATATGCTATGCACGTGCAGATTCTTTTCTCCAATATTGAGTACAAGTGTGTCTTTATAATACAGAGTATGAAAGTGCCCATAGCTGTCCTTTCTGTGCCCTGTCATTTTTCACTCTCAGCAGTGACTCTCATATCCATAAGATCTGTATCACACGAAGGACAGCACCCTGACACATGCCCCGGCAGATTATCAGCATAACTTCTTACCAGTAAGGGAATTCTCCAAAAATTGTTTTATACATTAAAGTACACTGTATATGGTGGCAAGCAGTTAGGACTTGATATGACAATTTCTGTGTGTGTGTGTGTGTGTGTGTGTGTGTGTGTGTGTGTGTGTGAGAAACAAGTGCCACAAACAGAATACCAGTAGGAACCAAAGTTGGAAGGCATTAGGGTTAGGTAACCATACACAAGAACCTATAGGTTCTCTATAACCTATAGGCCAATGGTTCTCAACCTGTGGGTCATGATCACTTTGAGGTCTCATGACCTTTTCATAGAGGTCACCTAAGAGCATCAGAAAACACAGATATTGACATTATGATTCATAACAGTAGCAAAATTACAGTTATAAAGTAGTAACAAAAATAACTATGTTTGGGAGTCACCACATGAGGAACTGTATTAAACTGCACTAGGAAGGTTGAGAGCCACTGCTCTAGGCATTAGTTACATTGGCACAAGCGATTCTATTTTTATTGTTGGCTTTGAGACAGGGTATTACTATGTAGATGTGATGGTTAGCTTTGAATCACCCCAGAAAAGATTGATGAGGGAATATCTACATTAGGTTGTCCTGTGGGTATGTCTGTAAGGTACTGTTTTAAGTTAATCAATGTGGGAAGATCAGCCCATAGTAGGTGGCACCATTCCCTAGGAAGGGAGTCCTGAACTGGATGAGTGAATAAATTGAGCTGAATTCAAGCAACTAAGCATCATGGATTCATTTCGTTCACTCGACCATGAAGTGACCAGTTGCTTCAGGTTCCTGCTTGCATTTCTACATATAATATGACTAAGAGTTACTTCAAGTCCCTGCCTTAATTAACTTCTCTACAGTGATGGACCATAACCTGTAATTGTGAGCCAAAACAAACAATTTCTCCTTTAAGTTTCTTGTTGTGGAATATTTTATCATAAAAACAGAAATGAAACTAGGACAGAATTGGTGCTGAGGAAGTGGGGTTGTTGTCACGACAACCCTGACCATGAGGCTTTTATGCCTTTGGATTATTTTGTGGGGTAGTTTGGAATTGTAGGCTTGAAAGGTTTTTAAATGCCAGCAGCAAAGCTTAATGGGCTGTTTGAGTGAGAGTCTGAAGAATGCTGAAAGATGGGAGATCTGTATCTTAAGCACAGGTTTACCACTTGATTTGATAAGCACACTGATAGGGGCTCACAGAAAGGGCTATAGGATCTGCAAAGACTTTGTTAAAGGAGCCAGGTAACATACTGAAGGAAGCCAGGAAGACATTTGAACTAAGTCTTCAGAAATCAAAATCGAACCACATATAGATTCAAAATTTGAAATCTTTTTATAATTGCCATGACGATCCACCCATGTTTAGATGCCTTGTCTGCCGCCATCATTTCACTGTGTTCTCATGCATCTGGCCATCTTGTGGCACCACACATTCAAAAGGCAACCAAACAAGGGCAGGGAGGCCTGAACGCCTCTTTCGGGATATAGTTTTATATGACAGATTCACATTGTTTTTTTGCCCATCGCCCCTATAACATAGGAGAGTCCTTCTTTTTGGGATTTAGTGGTTCAACAGGTTTGGAAGAATTTGGGTAGTTGATACTTCCTTGTGTTCTGTTGCTGGGAGAAGACAGGAGGTTTAGCATGTCAAATGGTAAAGGTAAAACCACAGTGGATGGCTTCTCTGTGGACAGCGACTGAAGAGTGTGCAGGTATCGAAGCTGAACAGCAGCTGGGGTGCCTGACAGGATCTCAGCTGCCATCCTCAGGGACTCAGAAGCAGCCCTTTCCCCTTCCGCAGCAATCATCTATAGAGCATATATGAAGAAAAGCAACGTGATCATGTTTCTTCATTTCATGAGGGTTTTAAGTGCTCATCCTGGTGACCTAGAAAAGCAAGTACCGTACATCTCCCGAGTGGCAGGCACTGCTAAATGTGGGCACTAGACTTAGTCTTTCTCTGATGGATTGTGAGGTGGAGAGAACAGATAAAACTAGCCATCAAAATTGAAGGTGGATTTGTCGTGACAAGTATACATCGAGTTTAGGGGTACTGTTAATGTGTAGTAGGCTTGAAAACTTAGTAGAATTGTGCTTGCCATATGGAGGACAAGTTAGTCTTAGTTCCGGGGACAGACATGGAATTATAACTTGGAAAAAAAAAAAAAAAAAAAAAAAAAGAATGGGTAAGCATTTCAGAAGAGAAGGCTCTCTGCCTGTTTCACAGATGCCACCTGACACTGGGCCTCAGTTGTCCAGGGACAGTCCCAGCACAAGAGAGGAAGGATAGTGAGGGAAGATTTTAAGGAGAGAGGGTGGAAGCAGAAGAGGGGGGGTGTTAGCAGGAAATTCGGGGAGAGGCTGAGATACTGCACAGTCAGTCCTGTGAACACACTGTCAACTGTGGTGAGGATACAGCCGGATTCTGTTCAGTTCCTGGACCCATGTGGGACAGCACAGGGGAAATGCTCTCCACCAGCAGGCCTTCTACGGGGCTCTAGTTGCTCTCCAAAGGCATGGATGGGAGGGTGGAGTGCTCAGGAGTGGCTCACCCGCACTTTGGCCTGTCGCTGAGCCTCAGCTTCCACAGCCAGAGAGTGCTGAAGGCCGGCCGGCAGCCTCACATCCTTACTGAAAAAGAAGACAGACAGCATAGGTGTGCATCCTGACCAAAGGAGTGCCAGGGTGTCTTACAGACTTGCCCCTGCCTACTGGTGTTCCATGAATAGCAAATTCTTTCTTTTTTATTTAAAGATTTATGTGTATGGGTATTTTGCCTACATGTATGTCTGTACACCACATACATGCCTGTTACCCATGGAAGCCAGAAAAGGGCACCTGGAATTACAGACAGTTGTGAGCTGAGATTGAACCCAGGTCCTATGGAAGAGCAGACAATTCTCTAAACCACTGAGCCATCTCCCCAGCCCTGAATGGTAACTTCTAAATGAGCAGACAGAGCTGTTCCAGTTTTGACATGGAAGACAAGCAGAGAAGAGCACATCTGGTATCCAGTGCCCTCAGTGCAGGTATGAGCACTATGGCGGCTGCATGGGGCTAAGGCACTCTAATTACAGGGCTCATATTTTGTGTTCATAGTTTGTGGTCATCTTTCTCACTTAAGATTTCATGTAAATCCAAGTTATTAAGTCTGAATAATGAAAAGCAACTTTGAAGAGCCATGTGATTAAAAACAAAAACCAGAGGAATTCATCTAAGTTTATAAAAGAAAATTGATTTTATAAAAGGAAATTATAAAAGAATAAGAACAATTCTAGTATACTGCATAAAAGACATACAAGTAAAATTTCATTATAGCACTTTCCAAAACAGTCCCAAAGTGGTTAATTAAGGAATGTAAAAGCAAAGTTTTGTGTGGTCATACAATGGAATATGATTTGCGAATAAAATGGAGTGAAGTGCTGATGTGTGCCACACCATGGATGAACCTGGGAAAATGATGCCAAATGAAAGGAAGCCAGACACAAAAGTTTCAGGCTATTAACTCCATTTCTGTGAAATATCCAGAATAATAGGCATATCCACAGAAGGAGAACTGGGGGCTAGGGTGAGGGGGTTAGAGAGTTCTTGCTTGTGAGTTTTAGGGGTGATAGAAATGTAAATTTAGGACTAAAACCACTAAACTAATACCAAAACATGATTAAAATGCTAAGCTTCATGTAAAAAGACCCCTTAATGCATAATTAAAAACTATAAGGATGGTTTGCCTAGATGTTGTAGCAATTGCATCTTGGCTATGAGTTGTTAGGTCATTTTTCTCTAGTATCAATGTGGCTGAGTATTTGAAATGATTTTTCAAATACTTTCTGGTTATTTTCCTACCTACATTTCAGTTCTCTCGACTTTGATGCCCCAAATACAGGTCACCGAATCCAAGGCAACCTGTAGAGGGAAGAGGTGAGATGCCAGTGAGACTTACCTCCCCAGCTCCCATCCTTACACCAAGCAAGGGCCACTGTTCTGTCTTCAGAACTGGTCCTTTCTTGGGGCACTGCTTTTCAATGTCACAGTGTCAGAGGCAGAGTTGATTAACTTGCACAGAGCTACTAAATAATCACTGAATCTAAAGATGATGTAGGAACCTGAATAATGGCTCTCAAAGATGCCATGTCCCTAGGACCTGTGACTGTCACCCAAGAGAACTGTTAGGATGTGATTAAATCAAAGGTTCTTGGAGGATATAATGGTAAGTGTTTTCATCTGAGAAAGGATTTAACTCGACACATGCAGGTGGAGCTAGATTCCAAGAAAGGCAAGGTATTGGATTCTGTCTCAACCCCCAGAAGGACTCTGCCATGGTGATGCCTGGACATAAGCCCAATAAAACTGTTTCTGCACTCTGGTCCTCGGGCTACAAAAGAGTCCAGTAAGCTGTGCTATTTTGAGTCACCAGGTTTGGGAATATTTGTTACATGAGCAAATAGGGGACTAGTACAGATGGTACATTTTATTTTCAGTTTGTTTTAAAATTCCCTCCTTAAATAACAGCATCTCTGGGCTCAGACCCTGCCAAATGGCTAACATTTTTAGGCTATTTTCACTTCCTCAATGCTAGTAGTATTAGGTTCCCAATGCTTCTTAGTCCTCTCTGCCCTTCACCATTGAAGTTGGAAAGGGGTGAGGGATAGGGCTTAGAGCCCTCCATGTTGGACCATGTTCATTTTAAACTTAGCTTGACCATTTCTTAGTGGATAAATACTCATCTTAGTGCACTGCAAACCCTGGGGGGGGGCAACTAATTAGAGGGAGCAGGTGTGAGTAACAAATGTGGAGAAAAACATCACAGATGAACTGGCATCATAAGGAACAAATAAGGTCTGTCCTGCACATCACTCATCTTTCTTTCTTTCCAGCGTCTGTGTGTTTTCCAGCTCCTTCACTTCCCTGAAGATACAAACACCAGTCACAGACATTTGGACACTGCATGCTTGCAGGTTCTATAAAGCAGTCACTGCCAGTGTCTTTGGTTCTTGTGTTTCCTCTGTTTCACATCTTTCTTCCTAACAGTCTTCCAACCCATTTTTGGTGTCCCTGTGGCTTCAGTACTGGGCTGAGTCCCTGGTGAGAAATGCTACCTGACTGGCCAGCTGCCTGCAGCCCTGCTTTGTTCTCTGTCTTAGTATCTCTTGCCACCATGTTTTGGTAATAGAGGCTTCTACCCTGGCTTTGGATGAGACTACAGATCTGGCTGCTGGTGGACTCAGTAAAACTGCTTAGAAAGGGGCTTTTCTTCTCGTTGTGGGGTGTGTGTGTGTGTGTGTGTGTGTGTGTGTGTGTGTGTGTGTGTGTGTGTGTGTGTTCGTGTGCCCATGTTTGTAACTACAAAAGCCTTAGGTCGACAGTGAATGTCTTTATTTTATTTCCTTTATTTACATCTCCACTTTATTTTCTGAGATAGGGTCTCTCATTGGCCTGGAAGCCTATTAATTGGCTAGACTAGTTGCCTAGAGAGCTCCCCCAGTCCCACCCCAGTTCTGCCTTCTTATGCCAGGCCACACTGCCACATGCATTGCCACACCCAGCTTTTTACATGGTTTCTGGGGATCCAGACTCAGGACCTCATGCTTGAACAGCAAGCACTTTACCCACCAAGCCATTTTTCCAGTGGCAGTTTTTACTTCTGTTCCCCCCTCTCATTCCAAATCAATTAAGTATGAACCAATTGGCAATTGATCATGAAAGGGTGTGTGGTCTCTGGACTCTGAAAGTCTTACTTGAATTTACTATTATTTACCTTTGGGCACACTATCTTTATCTCCCCAGCTAGACTCAGTGTCTGGGCACCATGTCTCCTCAGAGTCTCAATACATTGTTATCCAACATCCTGCCCATCACCACCAGTCCTACCTTTCCTGACTATGGCTGCGTCCAACACTCTGTACTATGCTGGTATTTAACAGTATGCTTAGGGTCATTGTGGAGTGACCTTGGGGAAGGGAGGGAAGCAAATCTACCCCAGCTTAATGATGTCATTGACTGTCTGCTCCCCAAGGAATGGCATCTGAAATGGCCAAAATGCCTTGCACGGACGTGGCAAATTTAGCAAATGACCAATTCATCATTAAACTCATCTTGGTACCTTTACGTCTTGGGCAATGCTCTTCCTTTCTAGGAGAATTTCAGTGAGGGATCGATGTGCCAATAGGCGCTTCATGGTGGTTTGCACCAGGAACTGGATGGCTTTGGACACATGAGCAAGACTGCTCAGCAGAAGAGAAGCGTTTTCCATGCGGTAGTAACAGATGGCGTCTATCTCCATTATAAACATATCTTTAGTTACCACCTAAGGAGAAGAAAAGTTTGAAGGCTCCTGGACTCCTTCCCATGTGAGAGAGGGGAACTAAATGCATTTACAGTACATTTCCCAGGAGTAAGACTATAGTAGGAAAAAACAAAAGAGTAATGGGAGGTTGATTCTTTATTCAAAATAGATATATATTTTTAATGCATGAAGGTTTTTATCAAGCACACTAAAGAGTCAGTGATGCTTGCCTCTGGGAGGAAGAAAAAGATGGGTTGGGGGGGAGCATGAACACAATCCAGGCTCAGAAGAAAGACTTGAAAGAATTCATAATTTTGCTGGGCAGTGGTGGGGCAAACCTTTAATCCCAGTACCCAGGAGGCAGAGGCAGGCAGATCTCTGTGAGTTCGAGGCCAGCCTGGTCTACAGAGTGAATTCTAGGACAACCTCTAAAGCCACAGAGAAATCCTGCCTTGAAAAACAAAAAACAAAAAAACCTCATAATTTAAAGAAATCTTATTAGAGATCCCTTTATTTAAAAAAAAACAAGAATAATTTTCTTGTATGAAAAGACATAGTTGATTTTATGTCAAGGCCTTCCTAAACTGATACCCAACGGGTCTCCTGGAATGTAAGGTCTTTCACATTGGAGTGACATGAGAGGGCAAGCTGGGAATTTCCATCAAAAGCCCCATCTTCTCTGGTAGTTTTTATGTCAACTTGACACAAGCTAAGGTCATCTGGGAAGAAGGAATCTTTTTTCTTAAATATCTATATATCTCTATCTCTGTCTGTCTGTCTGTCTGTCTATCTATATTATGTATACAGTGTTCTGCCCAGGTCAGAAGAGGGCACCAGGTCGCATCACAAATGATTGTGAGCCACCATGTGGTTGCTGGGAATTGAACTCAGGACCTGTGGAAGGGCAGTCAGTGCTCTTAACCGCTGAGCCATCTCTCCAGCCTGGGAAGAAGGAATCTTAATGGAGAAAATGCCTCCATAGGACTGTCCTGTAGGCAAGCCTGTGATTCATTTTCTTGAGAGATGATTGGTATGGGAGGACTTAGGACATTGTGGGTGGTGTCAACCCTGGGAAGGTTGCCCTGGGCTGTATAAGAAAACAGAACAAGCTGGGAGGAACAAGCCAGAAATAAGCATTCCTTCATGGCCTCTGCTCTAGTTCCTGCCTCCAAGTTCTTACCTCCAAGTTCCTGCCCTGAATACCCACCATGGCTTCCCTCAGCTATAACCCTTTCCTTCCCAAATTGCTTTTGGTTATGTTATTTATCACAGCAATAAAAACCATAACCAAGACTCCATCTGTAGACATTTATCACAGAGGGACGTATTTAAGGAGTTAGCTATAAGAATGGCTATTTATAGTACCACTTACTGGAATTGCCAATATGTAACTGGTTGAATAATCTGTGGTATATTCACAGCAATAAAACCCTGAGACAGGGCTGGAGAGATGGCTCAGAGGTTAAGAGCACTGATTGCTCTTCCAGAGGTCCTGAGTTCAATTCCCAGCAACCACATGGTGGCTCACAACCATCTGTAATGAGATCTGGTGCCCTCTTCTAGTGTGCAGATATACATGGAAGCAGAATGTTGTATATATAATAAGTAAAATATTAAAAAAAACCCTGAGACAGCTTTTCCCCCCTTCTCTTATATTTTCCTATATTTTGATTGAACCATCTCTCCAACCTCTGAAAAAAATATGCCTTCCTAATAGGTGTAAAATTATTTGCATATCCCTAATGA